CTAAAGAAAAAGTGTGTGTGCACCTTCCATAATCTACGGATGAGTGTCTCAGATCCTGCAGTCGGGTTGTTAGTAGAATTGATTACCATTAACAAGCTCTAATTGCTTTTACATGTTTGTGTGTGTGTGTGTGTGTGTGTGTGTGTGTGTGTGTGTGTGTGTGTGTGTGTGTGTGTGTGTGTGTGTCTCACAGGTTTAACTGTACTGAACAGGTGTGCTCTGTCACCTCTCCGAAGGGATTACAGCCCAGACTGTCACACACACACACACACACACACACACACACACACACACACACACACACACACACACACACACACACACACACACACACACACACACACACACACACACACACACACACACGCACACTAGCCTTCCACTGAGTTTGCATCTGCTCTGGAGCCATTTGTCTTTGCCTATACGTTTTTTTTCTACGCAAACATTCTCATACATTTGCTTTTTAATGGAGCAAGGTGGATTATTAGATTATTATTAAATGTAGGAAATGATTCCCAAAGATTCTCCGATTGATTAGCCACGAAACAATGACAAGACGATATTCAGTTAATCAAAATGTCAACGTTCAAGATGAAAAATAACACAATTATAGCAGGTTTTCCCAGATTTGAGCAGTGGAGATTTATTCTTTTAACATATAGAAGACTCCTTATTTCAACCTCACAAATAAGCTGAAAACTCAATATCGACGGTGAAAGAATATCATTATCCAGGGCATCTCTTATTAATCCTACATGTAATAAAGAAACATGATGAAATGTACATTGGAGGAGAAAATGTCAGGATAAGGAAGATTAATTTTCCGAGCCGGGAATTTGATGAAACGTGAAGAGAAACACAGAGAGTGCTGCTGCTTCATGATTCAAAATTAGGTTAAAAATCGATCAGCAAACCAAGTACGTGCTGCAGGTGCTCCATCGATATTTCGCCTCTCATAGCTCAATCCTCAGGTCCAGTTTTCAGATTTCACAATTCAAATCCTCCACAGTCTATCGGTAGTGCTGTTATCTTACTGCTCCAGCAAAACTGTAGTTTGCAGGATGACTAAAACGTAGAGACTCACGATTTCTTTGTGCCATTTTTGTCGCTGCATACAGCCAAATAGCAAGATCACATCACTAGATAACAAGGTGGACTGCATCTACAGTATGTAAAAAAAAAACATTTCTAAAAGGTTGAACATTTAAATAATAGGTCAAGGGAAAACATTCGATTCAATCTCAATACTTGTCGTAATACAACGCTTTTAATCCCTTCATATTTTAACATTAGTAGCTAAATATGTAGAGTTTAAAATGATGGGAGGCTAAAAAGTCCTTCTTAGGGTTGCTCATAAATATTAAAGAGGACATCTACTGTTCATTTTCAGGTTCATATCAGTATGTAGTGTCTCTACTTTAAAGAGTCCTCTCCTGCTGATGTTCAGGTGTATATCAGTATGTAGTGTCTCTACTTTAAAGAGTCCTCTCCTGCTGATGTTCAGGTGTATATCAGTATGTAGTGTCTCTACTTTAAAGAGTCCTCTCCTTCTGATGTTCAGGTGTATATCAGTATGTAGTGTCTCTACTTTAAAGAGTCCTCTCCTTCTGATGTTCAGGTGTATATCAGTATGTAGTGTCTCTACTTTAAAGAGTCCTCTCCTGCTGATGTTCAGGTGTATATCAGTATGTAGTGTCTCTACTTTAAAGAGTCCTCTCCTGCTGATGTTCAGGTGTATATCAGTATGTAGTGTCTCTACATTAAAGAGTCCTCTCCTGCTGATGTTCAGGTGTATATCAGTATGTAGTGTCTCTACATTAAAGAGTCCTCTCCTGCTGATGTTCAGGTGTATATCAGTATGTAGTGTCTCTACATTAAAGAGTCCTCTCCTGCTGATGTTCAGGTGTATATCAGTATTTAGTGTCTCTACTTTAAAGAGTCCTCTCCTGCTGATGTTCAGGTGTATATCAGTATGTAGTGTCTCTACATTAAAGAGTCCTCTCCTGCTGATGTTCAGGTGTATATCAGTATGTAGTGTCTCTACTTTAAAGAGTCCTCTCCTGCTGATGTTCAGGTGTATATCAGTATGTAGTGTCTCTACTTTAAAGAGTCCTCTCCTGCTGATGTTCAGGTGTATATCAGTATGTAGTGTCTCTACTTTAAAGAGTCCTTTCCTGCTAATGTTCAGGTGTATATCAGTATGTAGTGTCTCTACTTTAAAGAGTCCTCTCCTGCTGATGTTCAGGTGTATATCAGTATGTAGTGTCTCTACTTTAAAGAGTCCTCTCCTGCTGATGTTCAGGTGTATATCAGTATGTAGTGTCTCTACTTTAAAGAGTCCTTTCCTGCTGATGTTCAGGTGTATATCAGTATGTAGTGTCTCTACTTTAAAGAGTCCTCTCCTGCTGATGTTCAGGTGTATATCAGTATGTAGTGTCTCTACTTTAAAGAGTCCTCTCCTGCTGATGTTCAGGTCTATATCAGTATGTAGTGTCTCTACTTTAAAGAGTCCTCTCCTGCTGATGTTCAGGTGTATATCAGTATGTTGTGTCTCTACTTTAAAGAGTCCTCTCCTGCTGATGTTCAGGTGTATATCAGTATGTAGTGTCTCTACTTTAAAGAGTCCTCTCCTGCTGATGTTCAGGTGTATATCAGTATGTAGTGTCTCTACTTTAAAGAGTCCTCTCCTGCTGATGTTCAGGTGTATATCAGTATGTAGTGTCTCTACTTTAAAGAGTCCTCTCCTGCTGATGTTCAGGTGTATATCAGTATGTTGTGTCTCTACTTTAAAGAGTCCTCTCCTGCTGATGTTCAGGTGTATATCAGTATGTAGTGTCTCTACTTTAAAGAGTCCTCTCCTGCTGATGTTCAGGTGTATATCAGTATGTAGTGTCTCTACTTTAAAGAGTCCTCTCCTGCTGATGTTCAGGTGTATATCAGTATGTAGTGTCTCTACTTTAAAGAGTCCTCTCCTGCTGATGTTCAGGTGTATATCAGTATGTAGTGTCTCTACTGTGACATGTCTCCATGCTTTAATGTTCAAAAAGCTCTTTATTTTTCTCATACTGTCTGTGCTGCAGCACCTCTTTTCACCCTCTGTCTGAAACCAGAGACCAGTCTGCTCTGATTGGTTAGCTGGCCGGCTCTGTTGTGATTGGTCAACCGCTTAGAGAGGTCCCACCCCCCGCATCACCTACAATGTGTTGCAGCGCGAGCCAATAGAAGCGCGAGTGTTACGTCACTATGTTCAAGAAGTAAACAAAGTAGTCTAATGGTCCAATTAGCCTTTGCAGACCATTTACATGCACTAAAACCTATATATAAATGCACAATAGGGCCCCTTTAAATGTCATAGTGGTACTGAAAGTAGCGAGTCAATAAGCTAATAACATTTGAACTTGGTGGTAATAGAGAAAAGTTCATCACACACAGTTCTTATTTAATCCAAGGCTTTAAACATTAAAAGCATAATGAGGGCAGCCAGCTGTTTGTAAAGAGGCTAAACTGTGAATGTCTCTGTAGGGATCATTAACACACACACACACACACACACACACACACACACACACACACACACACACACACACACACACACACACACACACACACACACACACACACACACACATATACACATACACACACACACACACATTCAGGTCACACACTATAAAACCACACACATACACACACATACCATGTATACATCACTTCAGGGGACATTACATTGTATTGACTTACATGCATTTCCTGGAGACTTATCCTAACCTTAACAATAACCAACACATGCCTAACCCTAACCAAGTCTTCACCCTAAAATTAATGATTCCCCTTATGGGGACCTCCATTTTGTCCCCATAAGGGAAGCCAGTCCCCACACGTGACTGTGTAAACAGATGTAGGTCCCCACAAGGATAGTAATGCTAGGCCACACACACACACACACACACACACACACACACACACACACACACACACACACACACACACACACACACACACACACACAGCGTCTCCCAAAGTAAGTGCATCCAAGCTGACAGATGGAGACACACACTTTTATAATGGCCATATTCTGCTCTTAACTCTGTTGTGATTGAATCAAAGCAGAGACTGTACCTGGAGATGGTCGATACATTACAGCAGGACTTTAGTTCAGAGGAGAGACACACTGTGAGAACAAAGACGGCTCCATTTGGGGGGGAGAGTGACCTCTTATCCAATCATGTGTTGCCACTGTGGTCATTGGGACTCACTCAACTCATCATTTACCATCAGCTCTGCAAGGTCCACTTTGATATTCTGCGGCATATTCAGAGGGAAAGAGAGCACTATTTCAACTAATGCTTTGTTCAGCTAAAGGGAGCGTGTTCCACTACCAAAGGTGTCATTTCGTCTGGGGACATAAACCCACTACTTATACAAATGGCAGATTTTGTCCCGAACACTTTTTTGCTAATTAGCATGCACCAAGAAACGAAATAATGATGCTTTGAGAAAAGATTTGTTTGTTTGTTGTTTTTGTGCACACTAAGACAGCAAACAATTTGAATAGAGGAGAAATAACTGTTATTTGTCTTAAACATAAACCAAAACAGGAAAGACACGTAACTTTGTGACTCTTAAATGACGAAAAAAATGCACCAATAAGTACTTTTAACACATGTAAGTTCTCCATACTCACTGATGCAATTGATGCTTGTACCAAAGATACCTAATATATATCCTTATTATAACCCAAACCATAATCAAACCATGATTTCCTAAACCTAAACAAGTAGTTTTGTATCAATTCACCAAGTTATCCACCTGTTGTAATGCAATTAATAGTAATTGGTCTTCATTAACTGACTAATATTTCATTGTAATCGAACAACATAACTGCTAATTATTACAGAAAACACTTTTTGGGGGTTGAAACTTGACGAAAAAGCAGTTATTTCAGGTCAGAGAGGGGGAAAAGTGTCCGTCAGACTGTAAGAGAGTGTGTTTGTTCTTACCCGGATGTTGTCGAAGGATGCTTTGTTGGTAACGTCATAGAGAAGAAGCAGAGCTGAGGAGAGAGAGGAAGAAAACATTTTTTTAAATGGATACGACGATTTTGTAATTTGCTTCAGAATCACAGATCAGTTCGTCCACAAAAAAGTGGGAAGAGAGAGTGTAAATAACACGAGGAGAGTAGAACAGAATGGAAAACGTGACGGGAACGTGGTTGGAGGTCGTGATGAATCATAACATGACGATCAGCCAGTGTCACATGGATGTGTCAGCCAAACAAAATGACTCAATCATTCCAGCATCTTCTGATCTGACGGCGCGAAGATGGACGCAAAGATGACGTTGTCTAAGTTCTGCAGAGGTCGTAGTCAAGCATCTGAAAGCATCCTGTCTCCTTCCAGCTGTCAGCATCCATTTCTTCTAACTTTTACTGTAACCTGCCCCAAAAACTACTGATTGTACCTTGTGGTGTTTGGTCCATTGCTGTTTAAAAGCTGGATTTGGATCCTGATGCACATCCACGACTAATTGACATCATAAGACTTACATATCATGTGTCTTTAGACGCAGAATTACAATCCATTTTCTGTCCCAACAAAACCATTCCTTGCTGAGAACTGGGCCACAAAGCAGCAAAGGGTGCATGTTAATGAGTTGAATCAGTCTTGAGCTCATTATGTCCCGCAATTTGACCTTTAAAGAGACAAACAAATGGCACCACATGAATACAACATCCATCCAAGCATTCATTTGTGTGAGATTTGTTTCAGTAATTAGTTCAACAAGAACTTTTGGATCCAACCCAAGAGAAAAACTGCTGCAAAGTGCTGAGCTCCACTGTTTACCACAGAATTAATGATGCACCTGAATCCTGATCACCTCCAACTGCACCTCTGCTGTCAGGCCGGATGCAATCAGCTCAGGTATTTCAGAGCAGGAGGTGGAGGGCGTGCATTATAACGCTCGATCAGACGGAAAAGTCATTACACCTACGAGGGAAATCGGCTCAAATGTTCTCATCTGGATCCACTTTCACTTGCAATAATTAGCCTCAGCTTATTACCTCCTACTGCTGCATGTAATGCTTCCAGCCAGCTTCTGCTTTACATAAATCCTCATTGTTCCACACCCCCTGAATACATACACCGCCTTTTCCCCGTCCCTTCAGCCATGGCTACTTGCTCAATATCTTTTGGATTAAGCCCCTTTATTTGTTTATTCCAGCCAGACAAGTGCGTGAAGGGTGTTTAATGAGTTGTAATCACCGTGAGCACTGTCGGACTGGGAAAACACTGAGAAAATGTGGAGATTTAGAGAAAAAAAGAGACAGAAGGAGAGAGAGATGACCTGCTCCTCCAGTTAATTACCTCTCATGTGTTTATCAGCCACCAGGAGTTGCTTTTTCACCCTCTGCTAATCCAATTACACTCCGGCAACTCTGACGTAAAGAGTTGGGAACGTGGTTGGAGGTCGAGATGAATCATAACATGACGATCAGCCAGTGTCACATGGATGTGTCAGACAAACAAAATGACTCAATCATTCCAGCATCTTCTGATCTGACGGTGCAAAGATGGACGCAAAGGTGACGTGGTTTTAGTTCTGCAGAGGTCGTAGTCAAGCATCTGAAAGCATCCTGTCTCCTTCCAGCTGTCAGCATCCATTTCTTCTAACTTTTACTGTAACCTGCTCCCAAAACGACTGATTGTACCTTGTGGTGTTTGGTCAATTGCTGTTTAAAAGCTGCACTTTCTCACAGGACGTAAAGAGTTTCCTACAGGCAGATACAATGTGGTTACAAAACAGGATATACAAGAAGACACTAGGGCTGCAGGATTTGGAATAAACAACTAATTGCGATTTTGACATTTTAATGACATCGCATTGCTATTTTCTATTTATTTTATTCTAGTGCATAAGCGCTAACCGTGCATGCAGCCTGTTGCAGTTTCTCCTGCTAGACTTGTACTATTTTCAACTTGTACCTTTCTTATTTGATCTTACTGCTTGCTTTTCTGTTAATAAATTATATTAGTAAGCTATTAAGCTGTGCCCTCTCTAAGCTTTCTTGTAGAGAGAGATTTAGTTTTAGTTTTCTTGCCATTAAGTCACCGTAGCTGCCTTGTAGCTACCAGGTAATCGCACTAAAGCTGGCTAGCATGGTGGTTGGAACAATGGCTATTCCCACGGAAATCTCGAGAAGGAAACAGGTAACATGTCTTTACCATGAGCCTGAGTCTTCATCATGTCTTCATCATGTCTTGTGTATTGTTTTTTGGATATTGCACTAGTCCAAACTGTGATTTTGACAACATTTTGAATTTTATTTTGCAGCCCTAGAAGACAGAAATATGTCTCAAAGATGGAGGAAGTCACTTTAAAGGGCAGAGGAAGAGACAGATAAATAAAAGGTGGTGACAGTGAGTAAAATAAAGAGACAGAAAGGTGGGTAAGATTAACCGAGGCAGACATATTGATGGATCCACCTATAACCTCGGCAGGAAACTGTGAGACGATAAGAAGACACATATGCTAATTAGATAGCCTGATGGAGAATATAAAGTGCTTCCTCTTTGTAATAATGGCTTTCCTTAGAAGTTGAAGATGCAAATTGCGCTGATGGTTATTCAGCTATTACACAGGCTAAAAGGTTTTTTATGAAATGCATCTTACTGCATCATCTGCTAACTGAAAGAGACACTGAAACAAAGGAGAAACACTTTAATACACTGTCCTGACAATAGAATATGTGTTTTCCAGAGGACGCAACACATTGTGATCGAGCAGCAATAATGTCTGTTCTCTGAGGCAGAAGCAAAGGGCAGGGTATTATTAAGAATGAACTAAAGTTCAAACAGATTGAGGTCTGCAGTCTGCTCCGAACGGCTAGACCTGAAGGCCGGACAAAAAGCCTGGCGTGATGAAATATTCATTCAAATAACAGGGTTGCAATCGTTCGTACAAACGGAAAGTAAACAGAAGTCTTTGTGGTCAGAACGACAAAAGAAAGAAGTTTAAAGAGTCATCTCCTGCTGATGTTCAGGTGTATATCAGTATGTAGTGTCTCTACTTTAAAGAGTCCTCTCCTGCTGATGTTCAGGTGTATATCAGTATGTAGTGTCTCTACTTTAAAGAGTCCTCTCCTGCTGATGTTCAGGTGTATATCAGTATTTAGTGCCTCTACTTTAAAGAGTCCTCTCCTGCTGATGTTCAGGTGTATATCAGTATGTAGTGTCTCTACTTTAAAGAGTCCTCTCCTGCTGATGTTCAGGTGTATATCAGTATGTAGTGTCTCTACTTTAAAGAGTCCTCTCCTGCTGATGTTCAGGTGTATATCAGTATTTAGTGCCTCTACTTTAAAGAGTCCTCTCCTGCTGATGTTCAGGTGTATATCAGTATTTAGTGCCTCTACTTTAAAGAGTCCTCTCCTGCTGATGTTCAGGTGTATATCAGTATGTAGTGTCTCTACTTTAAAGAGTCCTCTCCTGCTGATGTTCCGGTGTATATCAGTATGTAGTGTCTCTACTTTAAAGAGTCCTCTCCTGCTGATGTTCAGGTGTATATCAGTATGTAGTGTCTCTACTTTAAAGAGTCCTCTCCTGCTGATGTTCAGGTGTATATCAGTATTTAGTGCCTCTACTTTAAAGAGTCCTCTCCTGCTGATGTTCAGGTGTATATCAGTATTTAGTGCCTCTACTTTAAAGAGTCCTCTCCTGCTGATGTTCAGGTGTATATCAGTATGTAGTGTCTCTACTGTGACATGTCACCATGCATGTTAAACCCTGCCTATATATACTGTATGTCACAAAAGAAGCTCACATGCTTTACTTGAGTATACATTTATTATGTGTTGTAGTGAAGTTGTTAGAGACAGCACGATAAACAGAATGTGTTGCAGGCCTGTGTGTATTTGCATTTGGTTGCTGTGTTCCTGCGTGTTTACATAACTTTATTCAGGGGGAGGAGAGCAGTGAAGGTCAGCAGTGATTATTTAAACAGATTAATATCTAAGCGATGATGGATGGCTGCGCTCTTTATGGATCACTTCACGCCACAAAGCTCCATCGCTTCCTGCAGGAACTTTGATAGGTGTGTTGTTGTGATGGAGGGCTGCATTTGGCTCATGCGGGGGGGGGTTCATATGTTATGTTTTTAAGAATGTGGAGCAGAAAACACAATAATGTACGTTTCTGAAATCCCTTTTAACCCCCTGAAGTTCTCCTACAAGATATCCAAGTAAAGATCCAAGGTACAGATATAAGTGGCTTCATTAATCAAAATCAAAAGCTAATTTCGATCGAACTCAAAAGTGCTTCTTCTGCCATTTGTTATATCATATAAGTTCCCTACCACCACCAAAATGAAGTTGGATTTTAAAGGTGACTTTTACACATCAACTAACAAGAATATGACATTTTCCTCTAGGGACATTTGGCTGACAATTTCAAATGAGTTTGATGCCTATATAATCAAGCGCTCATTTTAATGGATTTTCGAAAAGATGTCTCATATGACCAAAATAAAGTTTAGGTTTTAAAGGTGACTTTTACAGATCAACTAACATGCATATTTAAAATGCTGCTAGAATATTTAAATCAACTTGTTAATGTCAGAAAAGTGCAAACAGTCCCTCTAGTGCTCCGCTCCTGCTTTGAAAATTAAAAGCACACCTATGATTGCACCACAGCACATCTACTAATGAGAAGCCAGCGTGTGGTCTCTGTGTGTGTGTGTGTGAGAGAGAGAGAGAGAGAGAGAGAGAGAGAGAGAGAGAGAGAGAGAGAGAGAGAGAGAGAGAGAGAGAGAGAGATATATATATCTAACTGATGGGTATCACTGTATCCCCTGAGGCAACTTGCTGTCCTTGCATTGATGTTCCTGTGTGACAAAATGAGAGTGAGCGTTTGAAATATCCACCAGCGTCGCCCTCCATCCATCCATCAAATCCTTCATTTCTCGGGTGACAGCTCCAGCAGAAGTTGTCATTTCTTCCTCTGCTCATATAGCTAAGCACAACCCATAGGGCTCCATTTAGACAGTGTCCATTTTAGAAAA